TGAATGTCCAAAGCTTTTAAATGTCTTGAAAAAAAGCGGTTCTTAACACGGGACTAAATTAGACTATTAAAACCGACGTCATCACTCCAAACATTAGCCTCCTTTACTTTGGCGGTGGTGACACGCAACCATGCGCCGCACGGTAGTTAGTTTATAGCCCAACTTTGGCCTTTTACTTTTTTACTGGCAATTTGCAGTTGCGCTCAAACATCATAAAAGTGGTGTAAATGGTGTGTGTGATATGAAACAATCCCATTCGCTTTTTGTCAATTAGGTCTTTGCGATTCTGACTTCCGGGCTGGTCTACAAGAATACGTCAACACTGCACCACTATTGAACTTGGCTAGCCAAATAACTTGGATCTAACTTAAAAAGTTATGTTTCTTTCCCCTTGAAGCACAGTTTCATCAACTTTGGCGAAGCGTCAGGCCCCTCTTAAACATTGAATCATCGAGTAGAAGACAGAAATGTCAGTGTGGGTGGGCTGAAAGAAAGACAAAGCCCAACAACAGGAAAAAATGAATAAATAAACATTGTCAGATGCTGCACTGTATAAACCTTTGTTCTGGATTTACAAATGTTTTACATTCTTCAGTCTCACGTCAAGTCAAAACACTTAAGGCATTTATCTGAAGCTTATACTTACATGAGTTCCTTCTCACAGGGGGACTAATGCATGGAATTAGCTGTGGTGATTTGTTGTGAAATACTCCTAGCTTGTATAACTACAAGCTAACGGTTCAGGATGTTTGCTTTAAAGCATCAACAACCACTTGGCTCATTAGATACGAGGAAACCAACTGGGAAGAAGTTGGCAACATGGTGTCAGAGGGGAACAGATGGTAGAGGCGCACATTGGCCTGCTCTGTTCAACCTGGTTCAACACATTGAAATGCAGTACAGCATGCCTTAAATATGCTGTAATATATTGTTCTGGTTTTAGGCGTGTGGCGCAGTGGGTTGGTTCAAACCCCACTACAGTCAGCATGTCGTTGTGTCCCTGGGCAAGACACTTCACCCCAAATTGCTCCTGTGGGGATTGCCCACAGTATTGAGTATGTAAGTCGCTTTGGATAAAAGTGTCTAACAAGTAATATTTTATATGTAAGCCTAAATACCAAGTTTACTTTAGGAACATTGTCTACAGTTTACACAGGTACACCAATATTCTTGGGATTTGACTTGCCAGCTATTCTTTTTTTTATTGCCAAAATCATATTTTGATTAAACTGATTTGAACAGACAAGTAGTTTCCCCAAGCATGTATTCTTGTTGGGGCTGGAAAAACTTAAGATGATGGAGTTCTTACATTGGCTAACCATAACCACGCAATAATGTATCAACAGACATCTGGCTTATTTACTGTCATCAGCAAATAAGCTGATGTGCAATATGGCTTAGCCGTATCTTTATCCATTGGCTGTGTGACTTGAGGCTTTCGTAACAGATACATTCATAAAAACCTATTTATCTTGCAAAAGAATGTTCTATTAAAGGTTGTCTTCTAAATGTGTTTTTACATTTGTGCTCATTTAAAGGTCACGGGATGAAGGACAATTCAGTGGCAGTTCAGTGTCTTTTATAGTGAGGAATTATTGTGTCCCTAGAATAAAAGGGGAATAAAAAACAATATTAAATTAGAAAACAGATCGGCATTTAAGTGTTATAACTGCACATCTCCAATGGTGATGGATGTAATGCTGAGTGTTATTAAGATAGTCTTTTTAAATGTATGCGGTTCGATCACCTTCCAAACCTGAAAACTTCAGATATTTTGAGAATTAGACAGCAATGTTTTGTTCTATTCATATCATACGCCTGTCTGCAAGTTGCGTTTAACCATTCATTTTTTCAGGGCTAGGCACATATACAAATAGGTGATTTCCACCTTCGTAAGCAGTCGCCATTACCTAAAAAACCTGAATTATGAAAAGCATTTCTAGTTATATGTTTGTATGTGAGACCTCCAGAGAATAAAATGCCATTTAGCAGTGATGTATTTGCGGAAAGGGAACAGTGTCCCTGATTAATAAAACATGAGTTGGAACAAAGACGATGACGGTGTCTTGCGTCATTCTGTTTTGCCTCAAATACCATGAAGGGGGAGAGGGGTGCACTGGGTTCATTGCACTGCTGTGATGAACATCAGCCTGTCACAAAGTGATGCCAGAGTCCCTGCTGTCAGAACAATGCCTACAGAGCCTGTTAACCATCATGCTCATAATGACGTTAAACATGTGTAAACAGACAGCAGAGTAAATAAAGAGACAGGAATGTGAGGCTCAAACAACTAATTGCTAGACGACGTATGAGTAAAGTTATACTTAATTATTCTTAGCTTGGTAAATTCTGTTTAAGAAAAGTGGGCAGCCACTTATGGGACCCTAACCCTTGACTTACAATAACTGAAGATCAGACTTAAAGTCTCCTAAGCAGGCTGATTATATATAAGTGCCTCTATTTAACTTATCCATAGAGCATGGTCTAAAACACATGGCACAAGTGCATTTTGGGCGTTTCCAACTGATTTTAGTCGGTTAATTATTCATAAATGTGTTTTTAGCGTAACATGTATAAATCTAATGAGTCATCTCCCATTCTCTCCTGAAGCCAGGGTTTCCCTGTGTTCCTAATTTATTGATGGATTTGGCAAATAAAGAAACAAGCAGTTGTTTTTCACCTGAGAAAACATATCTACTTGTTCTGGAAGTGAAAGTGCATAAGCAGATGTATGTTGTCCTGGGCCTCAGGACCCTCGGCACCGCCCGCTGTCGACATGAGCAATCACACCTATAACCTAGGGCACAATACCTGTCCAACAGAGCTTTTTTCACAGTTAACTGTATTATAATAAACATTCAATATTATAAGCATATAATAACAACTGTATTTCTTTCCCATGCAACCCACTGGGGGCCTCGGCATTAAGTGAGGCTAGGGCTGCTCGATTATGGCAAAAATCATAATCTCGATTATTTGGGTCAATAATTATAATTGCGATTATTAAATGCGATTATTCATTGACTTTGTAAACATCCATTTATTGTACTTTAAAACAAATACAAATAATAATTTGAACTTTTTAACTGTTGAATTATACGTTCAGGGTAATCAACTGAAAAACCAATACAAAATAAAATAAATTATACATTCATGTCTACATTTAAATAAATAATATCAAAAATAATAAATACCAATAAACAAGATCAACAAACATGTTGCAGTGCAGTGTCACAACCTAAAAACTCCTTAACATATAGCCAACATTTTGGTAAAACATATTGAACATATTCCACTCACTCCACTGGGTCAATAATTGAGATCACGATTATTAAAAACGATTATCCATTTATTTGAAAACATAAATTTATTGGAGAAAAAACATTTGAACAGTATGTTTTTAACAGTTGATTACCCTGAACTTTAAGTATAATAAAAAAAAAGTAAAAAAAATGTAATAAAAAAATAATCGTTTTATTTAGATTACGTTGTTTTCGTTGCAAGCCATAATCGTAATCGCGATTTAAAATACAATTAATTGAGCAGCCCTAAGTGAGGCCACAAAGAAAAAGTCCTGTTGGCTACTTCAAAAACTTTAAAGTAACCTACTTTTTTACACTTGCTGACAGAGATGTGTGAAAAGAGGAAATGCTGAGCGCTGAGGGTTGAGTTTACATCATACACATACATCACTACTTGAAATGACACATTTAGTTAAAATGTGCGCCATAGACTTATGATCAGGTTTTCCTACTTCAATGGTGCCATTTTTTACGCTGCCACAAGAAAGCAATGCTTTATCCATGTGCCTGACCACACCTATTGGTAAAAAAAACACCACACCCATGTGCACACAGATAGGCCCAAGTATAGTTGCTACTTACACTACGTGGTCTCTGGACATGAAAGTGACAACTCCGTCTCTCCAGAACTAGTAATTACTGTTGGGCTGCGCCATGTACTGACTCTAAGAAGGGTTGTTAGATGTAATTTCCTAGTAGAACATTATTGTTCTTTTTATATGCCAATTTCACAGAAAGTGTTATTATTTTTACAATCTAGTCAGCAACTCTAAGATTCTAATCAATGGAACATTTTTAGGCTTAATTGCAGTTATTTTACTGTTAATTAGCTTTTAATAATATAGTTGTGTAACATTTTCCAAAGTCTGAATGTGTTCTGTAAGTGAAGCACTTCTGTCCAGTGACCTGCCGTGGCTTCCCTTTGCCCTAAATCTCCCCCTCTTCCTCCCTGGTCGTTGAGGAAGGTGACTGTGGCTTCAGGGCCAGCACAGAGAAAACCATTTAACATATAAGCTGTTGTAAGCCTGCAGATATTATTACCCAACATCAGGGGGAAAGCTCTCAGCCAGGCCACTGCGGCATGTACATTTTATATGCGTGTAGTTTCAGAGTGTGTATGTTTTCTGTAAGTCACAGTGCCCTATCTACAGATTGAGTTTGTGTGCATGCTTATTTCAAAATTATATGCTAAACGTAAAAAATTACGCACTGCCTGAGAATCAAAGCCAAAGAGAAATGTCCAGCAAGATGAAAAATGATGTGTTCTTGATTAAATGCCTACATTGGTTAAGCTACATTTTGTATGCTCTGTCAGCAGAGATTCTTTGTCATTCTTTCTACTAACTCTCTATATAAAGCCTGGGAGACTGACTTTATTAGTTTATTTGGATCGCAACTCCATTGTCACTATGGTGTTGGAAGCAGCCCTGTGTCTTGTGTCACTTTGTGCTAGAATTTCACAGTAATGTTGGCCTGAGATCAAAAGACTTGTCAGATAAAGGGAATGTGGTGATCACTCTGCTTCATAAATTCCTCTTCTGTAGATTTCTTCTGAGATGCTTTTGATGTGCAGAATGAATGTCCTAGTGCCTGACATCTGTCACATGTTATTTCTTTATCTGGAACATGAAAAAAAACTTTACTTTAGTAATGTTGGTTTTTAATCAGAACTGTGTTTTGTGTCACAATCCAGGCCTCATGGAGCTGGGGACTCCACGCCTACTGTGCACCAGGGAGCTCGATCCATGCAAACAACCATAAAGGGTGGGAACCTTGATTGCCCTTCAGTTCCTTTTCCCATCCCTCCCCCTAAATTGCCCCTTTGGTGATATTGCCTCACCTACCTGTGGCCTGCAACATGATTGGCAAGCTGAAACAGAACTTGCTGGTGGCCTGTCTGGTCATCAGCTCGGTCACGGTCTTCTACCTTGGCCGCCATGCCATGGAATGCCACCATCGCATAGAGGAGCGCAGCCAGCCGGGCGGGATCCTGCCTCTGTCGGCGCTTGGAGGCAGCATGCGGACCACCTTACGGACAGGCCAGAATCTCAGCACGCCTTTTGTTTACAATAAAGACATGCCACTCATATTCATTGGTGGAGTGCCCCGCAGTGGGACAACGCTAATGCGAGCCATGCTGGATGCCCACCCTGAGGTGCGCTGTGGCGAAGAAACTCGAGTTATACCTCGTATCCTGGCCATGAAGCAGATGTGGAGCCGCTCAGGACGGGAGAAGATGCGCCTTGACGAGGCCGGAGTGACAGATGAGGTGCTGGACGCCGCCATGCAGGCCTTCCTGTTGGAGATCATCGTCAAACACGGAGAGCCCGCCAACTTCCTCTGCAACAAGGACCCTTTTGCTTTGAAGTCGCTTTCCTACCTGGCCAAAATCTTTCCTCATGCCAAGTTTCTACTCATGATTCGTGATGGTCGGGCTTCAGTCCATTCTATGATTTCACGGAAGGTGACCATTGCTGGCTTTGACCTTGGTAGCTACAGGGACTGCCTGACCAAGTGGAATCGGGCCATAGAGACCATGTACACTCAGTGCCTGGAGGCATCGGACAAATGCCTACCTGTGCACTACGAACAGTTGGTCCTTCATCCGGAGAAATGGATGAAGACACTGCTTAAGTTCCTTGACGTTCCATGGAATGATGCTGTCCTCCGCCATGAGGAGCTCATTGGGAAGGCTGGAGGAGTGTCACTCTCAAAGTAAGTGATGTTGACAGGTTTTTTTTCTTTACCTATACTCAAACACAAGCCCTGACAACTTCTTGTGTACTCGTACTTTAAAGAGGGACCAGTTTTCGCACGGATCCCAATAGACTCACAATGTCTTGTGTTTTGGTGATAGTTTAAGTCTTATAGGGGAAATAAAGATGTGGCAGAAAGATAGTCAATCATCAGGTTAATTAGATGGAATTTGTAGACTGACATGGTCATGTTTGGTTGAACTTTTATGTTTTATTGTACACAGTGATTGTAGTAATTGTAGCCAGGGTAAAACTTCACTCCCCCTATTGTCACTGTGCCTTTGAACTCTCTTTTTTGTTGCTCTGGGAGGAACTTCTCCATGTTGTTCTCTTTAATTTTAGTATATAATTAGAACATAGGCCCTTGCAACGCCTTTTTAAGAATAGATGTTCTCTTTTTTCTCAAACAGAAACAGAACCTCAATTGTCCAAAGTCTTCTTGTTATTTCTTGTTCTATTAGGGTTGAGTGCACTAGCTTGTAAAACGGGGGTCAATAGCCTTATGTCTTTTCCACTGTAATGTTTAAACTAAGCGTTGAGGCATTTTAAGTACTTTCAAACATTCTAGCTACCAGTGAGGTAACACTGAATCACCAGCCATCACTGTGTCATGCTGTGATTCATTTGCTGTTCTTTTTTTTTGGATGCTGATAATAAGCAGCAGAGGCTTTACTAGATGTTTCCTCTGCAGCTGCAGATTTATTAAATATTTCAGTGATGACGCAGTGGTGGTTAGATAAATATTTGCTGTTGTAAGAAGTGGAGATTTGTGCCAGCCTCATAAGCTTCAGATGGTAAGTTATGTCTGCCATATATCACATTGCCAGTCAAATAGAAATGAGCTTGGACATGCCCATGTCTACTTAGCTTTTAACTACTTGTCCTTGAGTGGAGAGAAAGTATGGATCTGCTCTTAACCAGTAGACATGAAAAATGACATAAAAGTAGCAGTGTGTCAAGATATCACTTTCTATTGAATATCCGTTACTGCAAGCCTTAAAAATAAACATGCACCTTTGGCCTTCACATATACCCTCACTATGTTTTCACTAAGCCTCTGAACTTTCAATCATTACATTTCATTTGTAAATTAAACATCCTACGACTGCGCGCAGCGAGGAACCTAGTCATTAGTGAACACATGAGATTATGTCTGCACTGCACTACTGTAAGCTGGTTTCCTAATGGCTCTGCCCGGTGTCAGAGTTGTTATTGTTTCAGTGATTTGGGAGGGTTGGCCCCTGGAAGGCGCTTAGGAAACACTGGAGGGGTCCAACCCCATTCCTCTCTTCTGTCTATCCCCCAGCCCCCCATGCTAACACCCTCTTCCTGCCACGTAGCACCAGAACACACTCTATATCCTCTGGAGACATTTGGGCTACGTTTTGTTATTGTCTGCATAGGAGAACCTCTCTTTTCATCCATTGAGCAGTTTTCCCCTCTAAATGCCTTTTTATCTTTCTAGAACTTTAGATTTGTTAGTGATAAGAAAACTCTAATTGACTCCATTTGTCATTGTTCTGTTTTTCTTCTTGATTTGATTTGACTTGAGAAGAAACAATTTAAAGATCAAAGAGGCAGCAGGTTAGAGAGGAGGTCAGACACTAAGTTCAGTTCTCATTCATAACACTCCGTTCGATGTCTCACTATGGGATGCGCCTCAACGCGTATGCAAACAGAAGCATCAATCTCATTACGCCAATCCTGATTGGCTGATGATCTTGACGTCCACGTCAGGGAATCCACCCACCCTATAAGTAGCTTGCGCTACGACGCAGCGTCATTCAAACACCTCTTCTCGCTTCAGAGCACATCTCAAATTATCAGTAGCCGGGCTAGCTTAACGGTCCACAGCTAACATTCGGTCGACGGGCGTTTGCCGGTTACTTTTTTGCTTTGCAAGAAGACTGAACAATATTAACACACCAGTTAATATTGTAATCTGCCTCGCCGTTTCTTTCTTTTGAAATTACGGTAAGGTTTGATTTTTTTTCTTCAAGCTAGTAACATACCTGTTGCTAGCTTTTCTTCCCTCCACACCGACACCACGCGAGCGAGGACGTTCTCTTTTCTCTCTCACACCAGAGGAGACGGAGATAAAAAAAAAAGGTATTCACACACCAGTTAATATTCTTTAAAGAATAAAATCTACACCGTCGCTTTTTCCTTTCGGTTTAACGACAAGGTTGGATTTTTTTCTCAGTAACGTACCTGTTACTAGCGTGTCCACTCCACGCCGACACCCCGGCGAACAAAGATGGACCCTTCTCTCCCTCACACCAGAGGAGTCAGGGACTCGGAGGCTCGGCTATGCGGCTGCGGGTTTAAGATCTCAGGCACAGACTCACACCAGGTCTGCTCGTCCTGCCTCGGGCTGGAACACGCCCAGGAGGCTATCGATAACCCCGGCTTGTGTGGGCATTGTGCCCGCTTCACCATTAAGAGCCTCCGCCGATGGCTAGCACGCCAAGCTAGCTTGTCGGGACAGGACCCCCTCATGTCCGCTGATTCGCCGGCCGGCAATCAAGACATGGTGGGGTCCGCCGCAGAGATTGAGCCCCGCGCTGTGTCAGGCTATGGCTCAATAACAGCGGCAGCCGCTGAACCGGAGCCCGCGCCGTGTCAGGCTGGGGTCCGGTGGCGGCAAGAGCCGCGAGAGCGGAGCCCCGCGCTGTGTCAAGCTTCCCAACTGGACCTCACCATGGTTCCACCCGCGGAGGATGTCCTGGAGTTGGACTATATGGAGGAAGAAGAGGATGCCTCTGAGTTCCTCCTGTCCGACTCGGATGAGCACGAGGATGACATCTTCGTTTCATCGGCTCAGGCTGCAAAGCCGGGAGCGATGTCCGCTCTCCCGGGCGAAAGCACACCAGCTTCGCCCTGCCTAAGTATGGACTTGCAGGCAGTGTGTCAACGCGCTGCGTCCAGGCTGGACATCCCATGGCCTGAAGTGGCCAAGGAGACCTCCAGATCTCGCTACGAGGGGAAGCAATTGCCCCAAGCAGCGAGGACGAAGAGGCAGCTCCTTCCAGTCTTTCCGGAGATGCTGGACGAGGTGTCGGTCTCGTGGAAAGACCACCCTTTCAGCAACAAGACCCCAATCCAGGGTGCGTCCTCCCTGTACTGTGACGATATGGAGAGGCTCGGCCTGCTCCGCATGCCACCCATGGAACCGCTGGTGGCAGCCCACCTCCAACCGCGGCTGGCTTTGTCACCAAGCAGGAACCCCACGCTACCGGCAAAGGCAGACCGTTTTCAGTCAGCGATGACCGAACGGGCCTATAAAGCCGCAGCTTTGTCCGCCAGGGCACTCAACGTCTCCTCGCTGCTGACCGCCTACCAGGCGGAGCTCTGCGAAGACTTGTCGAGCAAACCTGAGCCTGCCGTGTGGGATGAGATCGCGCAGCGATCACGGACATTTGCCTCCGTTGCGCAGCGCTGGCAGTCCAAGTCCCAGCTCCGGGCAAGCCACTGGGAATTATGTGTTTTCGGGTACAGATGCAGCCAGGTGGCTCAACTGAGCCGAACACATCCTTCCAGACTGGAAAAAAGAGGATGTTCTGCATGCCTATTGTTCCCAGGGCATATTTGGCTCCGCTCTAGCTTCGATGCAGCTGAGATGCGAATCAAAAAAGAAGAAGACAAACGAGGCTCTCCAGCTCTGTCTCCCCCGAAGGGTCCAGCCGCCACCTTCAACGGTCCCCGCGGCAGGCCTTCACTCAAGCTGCCTCACGTCCTGCCCGGTTCAAGATACCGAGAGCAGCAGAGACCACAGCCCGTCCCGGGTCCCCAGCCCAGGCACGAGGCGAGGATGAGCTGGCCAAGAAATCTCCGGTTCCGGCAGCTGCCGCTCAGGCACAGCCGACCCAGGTTTTCAGCCACCAGGCGAGGAAGAAGAAGCGGGCGGCCTGACAGCCACCTTCCCTCTCCTCGGAGCTGGAAGTTCCCTGTTCCCCAGCTCCAGAACACCTTCCAGTGTTAGATGCTCATTGGTGTTTCGGGTGCCACCATGCCCCCATCTTCCGCAGCTCGAGTGATACCAGAACGTCATCCTCAAGTTCGCGCCATAAGGGAAATGGACCTTAACATCAAAGGACAGCAAGTTCCGCTGCCTGGTTTAAGTCACACAACACATGTCATCCACATTATTGTTTCTTGATAAATCATTTTCCACTGTCGGTTCCAGGCTTGAAGCCAAGGGCGCAGTCAATAAAATGAAAAGAAAAACAATAAAAACATAAACAGTCTGTCGTCTACCCCTCTTTTGAGAGCGGCTACGGCCTCTCTCAAAAGGCGGACATTAGACGGGATTGTGAAGCACCACCGCCACGCGCTTATGCGCAGTGTCGGCCGGGGTGTCAACCTGGGGTACCACCGTGTTGTTCAGACACTAGAGGGCCCCATACCTCAACAAATAAGACACAGAGGGCAGACGACAGAGATGTGACATCTCCGCGCTCGCTTTATTAGAAAAGCGAAAAGTGGAAGATGGCTCACAGATTCTGCTTGGGTTTTCCAAGACAGGTAACACAGGGCTACAGGCTCCAATTCGCTGTCACCCCGCCCTTGTGCATTCTGTATTCACAAGCCCGTTTGTGAGAGTCGGCCCATATTTCGTGTAGCAAGAGAATTTCTCGCTACTAGGAAAAGAAGGGCTATATCGATAATACCCGCCGAACAGAGTCAGAGTCGTGTTTATTCCAAGTAATTTCCTCGTTCCCAAACGGGATGGAACGGTCTACTTCGCTGCTTATACTAGATTTAGAGTCTGCAACCAAGATATCTCAAAGATACAATGATCTCAATGCACATCACACATCAGTGGTGGTTGTCGCCAGCGAACGACTGGATCACATCCGTCGCCCTTGAAAGATGGTGATTTCACATCTACTAGTATATTACCCACAGAGGAAAGTATCGTGAGGTTCGCCTTTCAGGGTGTCTGTTAACGAGTACAGA